ACCAACATCCTACATGTATACCTCTTCTCCATTTGTGCTACATTCCCTGCCCATCTCATCCTCATTGACTTGATCATTCTAATTATACTTGCTGAAAGTACAAGTTATGAACCTTCTCATTATGCAGTTTTCTCCAACCTCCTGTCACTTCATCCCTCTTCAGCCAAAATATTCTCCTCAATGCCCTGTTCTCAAACACCCTCAGTCTATGTTCCTCCCTTAATGTCAGAGACCAAGTTTCACACCCATACAGAACACAGGCAAAATTATAGTTTTGTATATTCTAACTTTTTTGTGTTTAGACAACAGATGAGAAGACAAAAGGTTCTGGACTGAATGGTAGTAAGCATTAGCCAAATTCAATCTCCTCTTAATTTCCCCCTGAATCAAATTTGGTTTGTTACTGTTATTCCCAAATATCTGAACTGTGCTACATTTTCAAAACATCTGTTAGGTGCCTTTATGTCATGACTTCATCCTGCATTCTTGTGACGAGGAAGCAACATATATTTAGTTTTCTCTGTGTTTATTTCTTGCCCAACCTCCTTACCAGCGTCAATGACAGATTTTATGTTTTTCTTTATGGTGTCCATGTTATCTCCCAGTCCCACCTGTTTTCCCTGGACTTTCCTAATGGCATATTCTAAAGAAAAGTTGAAAAGCAATGGCAGTAAAGTATCTTTGGATAAATCAGTGCCACTTACTGAGCTACATTACATTGATAATAGTTTAGCATAAAAGATGTTTCAAACAACATTTGCTAACATATCACAACAGATATTTCATGTCAGGTTACAGTGACTCATGAATTATTAACAAACAAAACTATTTTCATGTTGGCATGTAACTTCTGACGTTCACAAAAAAAAAAAAAAGTTTGTATTGCTGATGAAAGAATAACGTTCCAAGTGGTACTTAGAGGAATGCCATTCTTTCAGCTTTTTACAGACCCATTCAATTAGTTCATATAGATGCATGCTACCTATTAATAGGATTTGCAAGAAACAGATTTCACCCTACCTTGAAACCCTAAAATTAATGTGTTTAGACACAGTGATGGTCATGCTCCAGGCAACATAATCTGATCAGCTGCCATTACAATAACTCACTTAAATAAAAAAAGCAATGCTGTCTATTAGTGTCTATAACTGAAATGCACTAGTTCTTATTTAATTTTGGGGAGTCATATAAACCACAAAAGAGAAACTACTTTGCAGAAACAAAAATGTTAATTTACTTCAATTTTAAATCAATGACTAACTGTGTGTAAAATCAGCCGGTACACATGGGCTCTGAATGCTCCTTGCTTAGCACAGATGAGTAGGGACTGAAACAGATTCTTCAGCTGCTATTACAAATTTTATGGGAAACTTTCCAATAATTGTACAATTCAAATAAGTCTAGAAGGGGCAAGAACTGAGTGTTGGAGAATATGATCATAATGATGTCCATAAAATCACCATAAAGATTCTGTTGTATGAATTAATACCATTAAAAACTGAGTACACTGAAAAGCATGTACCCCAAAATTTAAACATGTTTCAATAAATGTATTCATTCACTCCAAAAAAGAGCCAGAAGTTGATAAAATTTCTCATAAGCAGAAGTATGCCTGGCATCTAATAACTTTCATAGGTACATGGCACTTCAACTGCACTTAATGATATTGCATTATTGCAAGCACATGTTGCAAAATGGCATTTAGTGCAGGAAAAAATTAATATATGAAAGTTTTCAATAATGAAGTGTTCTGTCTTCTGGTGCATAACGACATACAGTTTGGTGAAAGTCACCCTATGATTCAGAAGAACTTTCTTTGCTTGCTGCCTGTTTAATTTTGGTTTCTTGATTGGCCTAATCTTTGATCTAGAAGACGGACACAAGATGTTCTTCTGAAACATCAGCTGACTTTCAACAGACTACATGCGATTTAACCCTACAAGATAGAACTCTTCATATCCATTGTTTTGGGAACCTCAAATCCAACACTTTTAATACTGACAGAATTTTCAGGTACTATACTAATAAGATCATTGATCATATATCTTTATGCTTCACATAATCTTCTTCTCTGCAAACTATATACCTTATTTTCTGTTTCTCTCTTCATATTCCTTCAGTCTGTACAGGTGAAAATAACATCATAGTGCTCAATCTCTAAGCTTCATTCACACAAAAACAATGCTCATAGACCACCAAAACATTTCTATCATTCCTTGTTCCATTCACTACCTCTGCCTTCTAACATTAGCAGTAGACAATCACATATATATGCTCACATTTATCAAATTACATATCTGTTAATGTCTACATAAAGTTAAAAGAATCAACACTATTCCCTTTCATTTAAAACATGACAATATGTAGTACCAGTAATATAAGAAATGTATATTCAATAAAACAATAGAAAACTGAATTAAAATATGTTTATGATATCTCATTAAATAAAAACTATCATTTAAATATAAAAATAGTTCATTCTCATTCTGAATAAATGTTATTTTCTGTAATATGGCATACAAAAGAACATTACCTTGGAAACGAAAATTTATTTCCAAAATTTCAACAGATGTACAAAATTAATAAATCACAATTGCAATATAACATGAGATTAGGTATTTTCATGGCAGTGATTATGAAGATTATAACTTCTGGGATCCAATAATATGTATTCTGGTACAAGTGTCCTGGCATTTTAGAGGAATGTACTGCTTCCACCTTCAGGGGAGAAGAGTGAAATCTTTCACTGAGAAAATGGAGGCAGAGTCTTCCTCTGGAATATTGGGAAAGATGTACCAGACTACACTGTGTCAGATCCCAGAAGCCAGTAATCCTGATTTATATCACTTTAACAATTCAGCTTAGTGTGGTAGTGTGTGAATCCCTTAAAAAGGGACCATCCCATGCACAATTAAATTTCACCAACTACTGCTGATTTCCTCATATCTAACTCAGTCCATGGAGCTGAGTACTTCTTGAGAAGCCGCCAGTTGCACAGCGACTCCAAAATTTCCCAACATTTTATGCACTCTGAAGGTTCATTATTGTGTTCACAAGAGCCCTCCACTGGTCCCTATCCTGAGCCAGATCAATCTAGTCCATACCGCCCTATCCTATCTCTCTAAGATCCATTTTAATATTATCCACCCACCTACATCTTCGTCTTCCTAGTGGTGTCATTCTTTCTCTCCCACCAATATCCTATATGTAGTGTCTCCATTTATGCTACTTTCCCTGCCCATCTCATCCTCCCTGACTTGATCATTCTAATTATACCTGGCAAAGAGCACAAGTTATGAAGCCCCTCATTATGCAGTTTTCTCCAACCTCCTGTCACTTCATCTCACCCTGTTCTCAAACATCCTCAGTTTATGTTCCTCCCTTATCATCATAGACCAAGTTTCACACTCATACAGAACCACAGATAAATTATATTTTGTATATTCTAATTTTTATGTTTTGGGACAGCAGATGAGAAGACAAAAGCTTCTGGACTGAATGGTAGCAAGCATTACCCGAGTTCAATCTCCTCTTAATTTCCTCCTGAATCAGGTTTTGATTTGTTATCGTCGTTCCCAAATATCTGAACTGTGCCACCTTTTCAAAACATCTGTTTTGTATCTTTATGTCATGATTTTGCCCTGCATTTTGGTGACGAGACAGCAACATATACTTAGTTTTCTCTGTGTTTACTTCTAGACCAATCTCCTTACTAGCATCAGTTAAAGTTTCTGTGTTTTTCTTTATGGAATATATGTTATCACCAGGGCCCGGATTTTGATGACCTGAAAATATTAAAAAATGACCTAAAATATGACCCAAAAATGTAATATACAGGGCCCAGATTTTGATGACCTGAAAATATTCAAAAAATGATCTAAAAGAGAAAAGAAAGAACACTTTGCTTCCATGTTATTCAAATGTAAGAAAACATATGAAGAAAAATTCCCCAAAATGACAAGACATACCCTTAAAAGTCCAAAAATTTACCAAAAAATTACCCCTAAAGTGAAAAAAATGACCTTAAACCTAAAAATGTCAAAAAATTACCTATAAAATTTACATTTCTGTAACCAGCAGCTCATATCCGAGATTTATATATTTAAGAGCATCGCATAGGATACAAGGGAAAAAAGATGACATGTCATCAAAATCTAGGCCCTGGTTATCACCCAGTAGATTCACGTCAGCATAGACCAGCAACTAATGTCTCCAATTTATTTTCAGTCCAACCTGGTATTCCTGGACCTTCCTAATAGCATATTCTAAAGTTGAAAAGAAGAGGTGATAAAACATCTCCTTGTTTTGACCATTCTGGGTAGGAAAATTATCAGACAAATGCTTACCTATATGGACTTTACCATATATTTTAATGAGCCTAACTAGTTTCATGGGTACCCCAAACACTATGAAAATATTTTATAATACTTCCCTCTTAACTGAATCATAGGTTTGATATAAGATTATGCAGTGTAATAAAATCCATCCAAATCTTTTTTAAGTCTTGTGTACAAATATAAGAAGGATTCATTAGTTATAACAATTATTTTCTTAGTTCTATTCAGCAGGAAATGTCCCTAGGAGACAAGGGCATCAGCCAGTTTTGTTGTGTAAGAACCTTTTGACAGGATAGAAAACTTTTCCATGAAAATGTGATGGAAATTTATCTTCTGTCAGCTTATTATAATTAGAAATTATGAAAAACAAAATAAGTACATCAGACTCCCGTCTCTCAGAGCATACAGAATACTGCAAAATTGGTAATGCACAAAAGACCCCAAGTTAGCAGTGTTACCAAGGTAAACAGTTTGCTGGACGGTGCTGAGAGATTAATGAAAGATGGAAGTTAGCTTTAGTGATATCAGTTGCTCACGATGCTGTACCTCCCATTTATTCTTTAATTTTGTGTTAAATTACTTAATGAACATAATGCTTCAGGTGTCAATCCATACAGAAAAGAAGTATGACATTTACTCAAAATAAAAAAAAAAAAAAAAAAAAAAAAAAACACTCTCTGATAATATGGGACCAAAGAGGGTACAAAGAAGGGGAGAAATAAAGCAAGCAGAAGTAGCATAATTAACTATATCATATTGCGTAAGACTGTAGCTGATGAAAAACCGGACAGTATTTCATTTTTACAGACAAAGTCTGGAAATTGTATTGCAGGGTTGCTTCCTCTAAATTAAGTAAAGTAGTAAAATTATACCCAAAAGAGCAAGTTTCTTAAAGCGAGCCATAAGATAATCTGGTAATTACATCCAGTTAAAAAGATAAAATAAAGTTTCAATCTTAATTAAAAAGTAAGGCCATACAGAATTTTCTAATATATAAGTACAAAAAATATTTAAAATTCACACACTTTAAAAAGTATTCACACATTCTTATCAACAATGTTAGTGCTGAGTAACATACTAGCATTTACTCAATAATGGATATTCATCGAAGATAACAAAAGAATATGTTGCAGTAGAACCTTAAGTAGTACAAATATCCATAGGTTCCAGAAGAGGGAAAGTGTTTACAGTTATTGATCACACTGTAATGAAAGCTCTCCTGTATAACAGACACAAAAAATTATTATGATATCAAATTAAAATTTGTTAAGGATATAATATGGAGGATTGTTAGGGACAGGTGCAGGAAGCATGTAGCTTCAAAAACGTCTTACATGATGATCAAGACAGGATAAAAGAACCACAGAATGCCAAATGCACACTCCCAGCAAGTATGTGAACTTATGTTATTACAGATGGATGTGTACAGGTTGACAGAATGATAGTTGGTAGCCAATACTGTGACAGGCGAAGGAATAGCAACAGACATCCTGAGAATGCATATGATGGTACCATGTAGTCCCAGTCATCTCTCAAAGGAGCAAAAGTTGAAGCATTATACACTAGCTCACCTTGGCCTGTAACACTGGTGCACACAAGATGTGTTCCTGCACCATAATGAAGTATGAGCCTGAACTAAAACAGTAATTGGTGAATGATTAACTAAAGAGACTTTCTGTAGAAAGAAAATCTTCCAAGAATCATGTACTATCAGAGTTATACTGATTGTGGCAAATGGTGGTGTCATACCCTGCCATGCAGTCCCAGCGAACCAAGCTGTCAGAACATAGATTTACTCTTACATGTTCGGATTTGGGGTTCTCACAGTGTTGACTACTAACAGTACAGTCTACTTACTGTTAAGTTTATGGCACATCCTGTGCTAAAACAAAAGCTGCCATATTTTCACACAGATCCACTGATCATGCTGCATAACATAAATGTGCCGAAGTGGATACCAACATCAAAGACATGGCACAGAAGCAGAGCGAATCATATGAGCGCTCCCAATATTCCCCATATAGTCTCCCTTCTTTATTTAAGGATTTAAAAAATCTTCTGCTGGAAGCTTTCTTCTTAAGAGCGAAGAAAATGTTTCATGGAAGAAAGATGGCTGGGAAAAATATCAAAGAAGTATATTTCTTGCCAACATCAAGAAAAACCGATCTGCTTATGACACTTGCAGCCTTCCAGGGTTGCAAGAACATATTACAAACATGGGTGGGCAATATTCTGAATAGCTGTAATTTGCCTTAGATGCCGATAAAAACTTCTCACACAGCAGTTATGTTCCCAATAGCTAATATTCAAACTTTGTGTATGTAAATTTTTAACTTTACTTAAAATATCATAACATATTGAACCCTGTTTGTTCTACGAGCATTTGAAATTTATTCTGTGTGATACCACACTGAATGTGTTATATAAAGATGAACCCTGCAAGACATATATGTAAATCTTGGAGGGATTTAAACTGAAGCTAATTTTGCTAAATGACACAAGGAACAACATAGGCAACTTATCGAAAGCAAGCTCATAAGACACCTGCTCTTTCCCAGTACAATATGGACTTAAGTAATGTTCACTATACATTCAGTGCCAGGTATACAAAGATACAATTCTAGATACTAAAAAATTGAAACAAAGAAATTTTACATAACAATACAAGAAACATTTTGGTAAATTTGTTACATAGAGATTTTGCTGCACTTTGATATCTTCAGTTGTTCCAAAAAATGTATTTCATTTCAAAACCTGCTATGATAATTAAATCCCATACCAAAACATTCAAGGTATGTTCTTTTGTATGTTATGGTGACACTGAAGTTTTTAATTTATGAATGTACCTAAATACAACAATGATATTATAGAAGTTTCTTTGATTCATAATGGACTAGTAAAATAATATGTTAACCATAACTAAAAGTCCTCAAATTGTAACATATGTTATCCACAGAAACCACAGAACAAAAAACTGTAAAATAAATGAAGTAACACCTGATTATCCCAATCTATCTCTTGTACCATCTGAGAAATGAATATATTTACACGCAAATTATATGGTATTTGAATTTTGTAAGTTAAAAACATAAACAAACCATTCCATTTAGTGCAGATAATAATTATATTTTATGCACGAGAAACATGTGATAAAAAGTAAAAATAAAATTCAATTATGCGTATTCCTTACATAAAAAGATGATAGTGTTTTACCAAACTGAATTCCTGTGATATATGAAAATTTACATGCATAAAATCCCTTTAACATAGATCTTACTATATAAAAATTGTACATGATCTATATCTGAGAGAATCACAGTAAAATGAAACATACAAAGTATTTCTGAAGTGGTCCTAATCTCACAATACTAGAGATATGTGGCTGGCAGAAAATATGACATAAAAACTCTTGGTAGTCTATTACTACTAAGGGATTGATTTTTGGATTTACACAATTCATAGAGTGCAGAAAATAACATTCTGAGTAACAAATAATTCTGACATAAAAATGAACTTATATACTGATCTTGAATTTAGGGAAATCTGCTTACGGCAATACTGTCTTGATAGTTAACAATTCAAATGCTGTGCTAAACCAAAAATCTAACAATGCAACTCCATTCAGCACACTGTCTTCTGCGAAAACACGGAAAACAATAGCAATAAATATATGGAAAGTTTCTTTTATCTGCTATCTGTCATGATCCAACAATAAATTCCACCTCAACATACAGCACCTTTTGTATGTTCGCAAACAGAGGAAATACTATTTTAATAGCACTGAAAATACATAATTCTAGCTATTTTTAAAATTCCCATACTTGTGACACATTTAGTCTTGCAAGAGTATATGGGTAAGTCCTGTCTCAGATACCATGAGGTCAAGATAAACAAGACATTTAAAACACGAGCTTCAGAAAATTAGCAAGCAGTGCAAGAAAAAAATTATATAATTAATCAGAGACTTTCTCCAAGGAAGTTTTTCTCCTAATAACTTTGGAGTTAAGAACAGTCGTTCGTTTAATACTAGTAACAGTGGTTCGTTTCATCATCCTGTGCTTGAATATGTTAGTGCCTGTATCTGATTCTTTGTGCACCTTCTCTCGTAATCTAAGTTTAGGCAAAACCAGTTTCTTACCTAATGGCTGTAAGCTTTTTTCCATCACTGAATCTTGCTCAGGAATAAGTGTAATGGCTGGGAAATTTTGTTGCAATGAAGGGTCTGAAAGCTTCAGTTCTTGATTACCGGACAGGAATGGGGAAGGTGACAAGATGTTGGATGATGTCTCTTCGACCACGGACTCACCGCGACATATGGCCTTGGATAGATGGGGTGACTGTTTCTCCCGGGTGTTGCTTAGAGGGCGTTTACCCCGTTCCTTTAACATGATGTGTTCATTTTTCTTGCAATCTGATGATTGTGGAATGTTCCTGTGGGATCGAGAAGTAGCTGTGGATGGGGAATTACATCGCTGTCCTGTAGCCACTGTCTCTGAACTTGTCTTCACCTCTTCAGCAGCCGAGTCTTGTTTGCGTAAACCATTACTCTTTCTTGGGCGAGAACAGCTCCTGCTGCGGAAATCATTCCTCACAAGAACTGGGGGTTGGTTCGAAACTGTTGGTAATTTGGTTAGTCATCTGATAAAAGCTGTTTTATAACTCCGAGAGGAGGAGGTTCGAGCACTGTAAAGGAACATAAAGGAGAAATAAGCTTGAATACTTAAAGGAACAAATGAAGAATGTGTATAACATTTAGTAGGGGAAGCACAGTTATTTCAAACTGCAACTCTCAGCCATCTGTTACAGTAATAGCATGCTATATGGGAACCAGCAAGCATGTTAGTTGGAGTGGGTGAATTTTGCTTTATTTAATGATACCTTTTCAACTGCATACACCACATAACACTGAATGGGAGAATGGTTGTAAGAGATGAACTGGGAAGGATGTGACAAAATAAAGAAGGTTTCAGCCAGGGCAGCTAGTCCTTGCGACAAGAACCAAACCCAAGACCTCTAAACTATGAAGCAGGAGTTGCCAGCTACTTGCCCACAACATTTCAGACACTAGTTAGGATTCAAGCAAATATTTATCAGAAGAGCACTCATGGTATGTCTCGAACTTCACATTACACAATGATCTTCAAATCCCATTCGTCACAGAAGAAATCAAAAGATATTCTACCATATACCACAACTGACTAATGGGACACGAAAACAGTTGCGTAACTGAACTAAGCAACCCATTAAACATCAGACGAAGACTAAAACGACAATGGCCCTCAGAATTAAAAGAACACAGTGTTGAAGATGGGTAGCCATACTCAACAACATAATGCATAGTATACTACACAGGAGAATCATCACTGGATGATCACTCCNCTCATCCTCCTTGACTTGATCATTCTAATTATACTTGGTGAACAGTACAAGTTATGAAGCTCCTCATTAAGCAGTTTTCTCTAACCTCCTGTCACTTCATCACTCTTCGGTCCAAATATTCTCCTCACTGCATGTTCTTCCCTCAATGTCACAATGTCAGAAACAAAGTTTCACACCCATACAGTATCACAGGCAAAACTGTAGTTTTGTATATTTTACTTTTTATGTTTTTAGAAGCAGACAAGAAGACAGAAAGTTCTGAACTGAATGGGGGCAAGCATTATCTGAATTCATGTGGAGGACAAAAAATAAATTTCAGAAATTAAAATAACTGAACAAGTTGGACATACTAAATAAAATCACACAACAAACAAATATGCAAATGCACTTCTGTGCTCAGAAATCAAAGACAGTTAAAACATAAGACAATCAAAGAATACTACTTCTAATTGGGGGGGGGGATTTCTTTTGTACTCATTGTATTAGTACATGCCCCTGTAGTTGTTAAAATATTAGATTTTGTATTCGTTGTATTGTGATAACATTGTGTGCATACATTAATATTCAGAAAATACATTGTAATAGTGGTTTCTAATTGTACTGATATCCTTCTGAAGATGATCTATAAGACCAAAACATGTCAAGGATAAAAGATTTTATCAGTCACACTGGACAGTGTTAATTAACCTTTATAATAAATTCCTTTCTTGGCAGATATTAATGATGGGCCAAACATGGCTTACAGAGCAGAAACTGGGTACATTACTTCTGAACAATTCTTAATTTAATATTTTTTTTTTACTTACTGGCGAACAGTATGATATCTGGTGACTCGATCTGCACTGCGCAATGTCATCCCCAAACCTGATGATGGGGAAGGACTACTTAAGGTTGTGGGTGTACTTTTCACTCTAGCTCGGGTAACTGGTCTTGTGGGATGGGTTAGGTTAACTCTGCTGACATTTCAAGTTTCACCAATGAGTACAGCCATTCAAAGCAACAAAGCAACATTTATGAAACAGCAAAATGGTGCAATGAGTATATCAAGAAAGAAGGGGTAGACATGGTAATATGTTACAGCATTCTACCTCTCCTTCCACAATAAGAGACGTGTGGAAAAAATGAGAGACACTTACTGGCGAACAGTACGATATCTGGTAACTCGATCTGCACTGCGCAATGTCATCCCCAAACCTGATGATGGGGAAGGACTACTTAAGGTTGTGGGTGTACTTTTCACTCTAGCTCGGGTAACTGGTCTTGTGGGATGGGTTAGGTTAACTCTGCTGATATTTCAAGTTTCACGGATGAGGAGTACAGCCATGCAAAGCAACAAAGCAACATTTATGAAACATCAAAATGGTGCAATGAGTATATCAAGAAAGAAGGGGTAGACATGGTAATATGTTACAGCATTCTACCTCTCCTTCCACAACAAGAGATGTGTGGAAAAAATGAGACACACTTACTGGCGAACAGTATGATATCTGGTGACTCGATCTGCACTGCGCAATGTCATCCCCAAACCTGATGATGGGGAAGGACTACTTGAGGTTGTGGGCGTAGCTTTCACTGTAGCTCGGGTAACTGGTCTTGTGGGATGGGTTAGGTTAACTTTGCTGATATTTAGTGATCGATTTGATCCATACATTGAGTTTAGAAGCCAGGTATTTCTAAGGAAAGAGACAGAGAGAGACAGAGAAAGATAATGAAGATGCAGTTAATTCATGAAGACACAGATAAACAAGACTTTGCACATAGGCCTATGCATGAAAATAACGTTTGCACTCCACCAAGAATATGTATATTTACACAGAATTTTGGAAACCCACAAGTTGGATAAGAAGTAGAAAAAAGATGCTCAGTTATAATTTCATAATATTGCAAATTATCTGGTCAAGAGAATGATGGAAATTAATATGCTCACTACATATACTGAAGTCCAGATTCAAAATCTAAAGGAGGAACATAAATACCCCCTCCAGTTTTATTGCTATTAATGCCACCAGTATTAACAGATGAAGACAGTAAATATTAAAACATTTTCAGTTAGTGTAAACTGGCCTAAGAAATTAGTTCTTCTTTGCATATTCAGTCTATATACCTGGAAGAATCAAACCTGCTCCAGATTAAGTTGAATCTGGTACACAAGGCATTATGCTACAAGCCAGAAGGTCGTGGGATCAAATCCAGATGAGGTGGATTTTTTTTAATTTGCCTAATCCTTCCAGGTGAACTATGGCCCTGGCGTCAACTCAGCCTCTAACAGAAAAGAGTACCAGGAATATTCCTGGGGGTAAAGGGTGGCTGGCACATAAGGTTGACAACCTTACCGTAATCTATGAGCCAACTGTCTAGAAAATATGGGAACCTCAACATCTCACAACCCTATGAGCCTCCATGGCCTGTTACAGGGATAGCTTTACTTTTACTTTACACATCACATTTTACAGCTCATACTTAAAAGAAAGCCTTTCCATCTGGGACCCTGCATAAATGTGGTCCTTCACTTCACATCGAAAAATAACATGGGTGAAGTGGAGTGGGCATAAAGTTGAAAACTCAACTTCAGCTCATGCTGAGGTTCAGAACATATGGTCCTTTAATTTCATGATGTGGTTCTTGGGAGCTACTTGACCTTTGGCTATAGGATCCACATCACAAAATCACATTAACAGAAGGATCTTTTAAGAATAAAACAACCACACAAATTTCAATGTGGAATGGCTGATGTAAAAGCAAATCTGACTGCATTTTCAATTAAAAAATGTAAAATATGATTATGATATGTGAAAGTATGACACACACTTGTTGCATCTCTGTATGACACAAATATATACCTCAGACACCGCCTATAATTTCAATACAGCGCTTAAGATGAATGAAATAGAGAAGAGCTAACTACTTGTTGGGAGGATTGGATGTTTTCTTCTGCCTCTGAGTACAGCAACCCAAAGCAATGTATTTACAGCTCTTGACAAAAATAAACATCCAAAATACTTCTCTTACCCCATATAATCTAAAGTATTTCTATTTATTGGTTACAAGGTCTTCCACAATTACAGGCAGAATCTGAAATGAACACCATTACAACACAGTGTCATTCTGGCAAACCTCACCCCTTACACTTTTGCTGCCAGTGACCTGATCTAAGCCAATATGGCAGTTTTTACCAAGCTGGCCAAGAAGTACGATACCGCCAGTGCTTGGAGGCTGAAATACAAATATATTTTAACAACTGATGAAGTCAAGCAGAATGTTAGATTCTAAAAAAAGTCTGCCTTTTATCTTAAGCATGAAAATACATCAGAATGAAACGCTTCTACAATAATCCAATATAACAGAAATAATGTGGGAATAGGATGAAGAACCAATCAACACTGATTTGAAGAAAATATCTTAAAATTTATGACAATAATAATTTTTTAAATTCTCTTAGTGGGGGGTGGAGTTGACATGGCGGCCACTGATTGGCCTACTGCAGCCTGCCCCGGGTGATTATGATGATGGAGAATTTTGTGGAATGAAGATTGGCAGGGGAAACCGAAGTACTTGGAGAAAACCCGCCCCAGCACCACTTTGCCCATCACAAATCCCACTTGACCAGACATGGCATTGAACCTGGGGCGCCACGGTGGGAAGCCAGTGACTAACAGCTTGAGCTATGGTGTGGCCTATTACTGGTGATAATATGTATACAGATGAAAAGTCAAGAGTTGCACTCATAAATTTAGCAAAACAGAAATATGCAACTTAGGACTGTACCTTTTAGTTACGGCAGTAGTGGTGCGTGATGTTCTCTTTGCGGATACTGTTTCTTTGTCCTTATTGTGGGCAGCCACTATGGTACTGCTTACTTTGGCTGCCTTTAATGGGGAGAGGATTGTGTGAGGGATCTGCTGCTGTTGCCCACTTCGGAATGGCTGTGACCTGGCTCTGGTATGTGGTCTGCCATCCTCCAAGCTGCAAACACAACAAAACATCAATTAAAATAAAATACAACAATGTCAGAGTATTTATCGATGTAACTGCTTGAGGGACCTCTGTGGTCTAGTGGTCAGAGTTCCTGGCTACAGATCCATATGTCCTGGGTTCGATTTTTGGCACTACCAGATTTTCTGAAAAGTAGTGGGGTCTGGAACGGGGTTCACTCAGTCTCGTGAGGATAACTGAGGAGCTAGTTCAAGGAAATAGCGGTTCTGGTCTAGAAAACCGATATTAACAGATGTGGGGATCCCTTGTGCTGACCACGTGACACCCTCTATCCAGTAAAGTTGGCACTAACTTTGCCGACAAGTGGCGGTCTCTTGGTCAGTATAGTTCGCTTGCAGACTAAAACCAGGGAGTTTGTTTTTGTTTGTAACTGCTTGAGGTAGGTTAGAACAAATAAAATTAACATGAATACATAAATTTGTTCTTAATAGGAGTATACTAATAAAATACTGTTACATTTCACCATTATAAAGTTTAGCATATGCAGAAATTCATAATACATATGTTACTTACTGCACGGCACCAGTTGTTACTGATCTTGGATGTCTCCTCAGTGCCTTGATCTGGTTTAACTTGTCACCCTGTGTCATCACAGCAATATTTCTCTTGGACTCTTCACTGTTTTGGTTGGCAGCATCCTTCAAATATAACAGAGGTTATAGTGGAAGAACAAATATGATGATCTGTGGAAACTACGTTTAAAAGTTATGAAAATTTATGGAATAGTTTATCTGCACTTGAAACATAACAGAACAAAAATTCATTTGGTTCAAGGAAACTTTAAGTTTGTCTGAACTGAGATCCTGCATTAAGAGATGGTGAATCATTACATTTAAACTGATCATCAGTATTTACAGGTTTATAGAAAGATCAATTACAGGCTGATCATATCACACTTCATAATGTCTGCTTTAAGAAAGTATGAGGGTTTTTAGCATTCCATACACAAACCATTTAGTCTGTCAATATATCCAGTGACACAGAAGGAAGCCTCATTTGTAAAATGAACCATCATTAACTGTTTCAAATCCAGTGGAAATATGCATTATTCCTTGTAAGATTCCTATAATTTGTGCATGATGTGTATCAAATAAGGACAAAACATCAAAATCTTCATTCCCTTATGCAAATTTATACGATAGCCTGCTTAAGATTTTCATAGTGATTGCAAAAAAAAACTTTTATGGATGTTTCTGACGTATCATCGCCCAACATCAAATGTCAACCAGAATGCATTATTCTTTTAAAAAGACAGTCATATAATTTTGTATGCATAATAGTGATGTTCCTCAGTAGTTATTGCAGCCAGTTTAATCATGTATTTTATAGACAGGCGCCAAAGTAAGATACTTTCCACTGCTGTGAAAATTCTTCCTTATTCCAAGAGAATGAACAAATTTCTGAATTTAGAACACATGGTTCTGAAGGAATGGTACTAAGGTCTAGTGACTGATATCCTTATTATTTAATGAACAACTTAATTTCTATTTCCACACAAATTATTTCCAATACTATCATTTAATTTCAGCACACGTCCAAACCATTTTTATGATTAAAAATTAAGTTTAAGGTACCTGGATATTTTTAAACTATACAAAACTTGAGATGCTATACAGAATGGCCTTACTGCTCCATTAGGTAAAAATTTGGTTCCTTGCCATGTATGTATATCACTGAAGGTAGGGTTTAAGAATTTATGACACTCAAATGGTTAAGTATTATGAATATTTACCATTTGGTTAGATGGAAACAGACATGGGGAAGGCTCCAGGCTATATTTACAAATACATTCCTTAAAAAGGAATTGGAAAAAAAATGAAGGTACCTGTTGGAAGTTCATTAAAGGAAAACGAGAAAGAGTGATATCTGGCCATGAGGCTGTGACCTTTCTAAAGAGCAGCAGGGGCTTAATAATATTTGTTTGGCAAATACACAAAAAAATGCATTCATGCATTCATGAGGACATTAAAGTTCTTTGCTATGGAAGGTAAGTCAGTGTGTGTGTGTATGTGTGTGTGGGGGGGGGGATGACTGACGAACAACGAACTAAAGAGGAAATGGGGAGGATGGAGTTGTGGCCTAAATAAAATAGTACCCTAGCATTTTCCTGGAAGAACTGAGGATAAACACAAAATCCTAAGTCAGATCAGCTGGTGACCTGTGTGAGATTCAAACTTAGCACCTTCAAAATAAAAGCCTAGAGCACTGCCTCTACACCAGTCTGTTTGGTGGTTAATCTGGAAAAATTGTTATATGTACAAGCATGTTTTGATGTTAACAGACGGCCTATATGAAACAGAAGTACCAGAACTTCAAGAAACACTTCCATATTTGGCAACTTGGGTTTTACAGTCTCTCAAGTGACATTCAATGTTACTGCTTAACACTGAATTTGATGCTTATCATGGGAGATTCTTACATCATGGAAAATATGGACTATTACTGTCAGCAAAATAACAGAAACAAATAAGATTTCAAGATATCTCCTTGGATATTTTATCAAGTAATCAAATGACATGGGGATAATGTAAATTTGTGATTAGATTATTATAGTTTTCAACCACAAAGATGTCAAAGATATTCACAAGTAAGTAGATTAATTAATAAATAAAGTTATTCATGAAAATAAAGACATTAAGACTGGACAATAGCCTCATAAAATTGATGTGACTGATGAAGAGTATGGACTCCATAAACATGTGTATTATTACAAAGAACAACAGAAAATACTTATCAAAACAGGAACACATAGACACCACCTTCATGGCAAATGTTCTTTATAACTAACAATATAAATTAGCAATATTTTTTACTATACATACAGCAGTCCTCACCTCAATTAATTGCAATTTCCTCCTGCAACTTCTTTCATTCTTATTTTCATCTTCTTGGTCATCTAGTTTCATTGTGTCCACTTTCTGGAGTATCCTGGACACATTATCGGGTACCTTTGAGTCCTTCTTCACTACCTTACCATTCTGTGTATTTAATTCAAAATTGAGAGATTTGCTCTCAATGCTGTAGATGCCATATGCATGTTTTGGATACACGTTTGTGTTCTGATTATTTTGTGAACGATGCAAATCACCCTGAAGCCACATGTAAGACTGCTTCCTGCAAATAAAACCTATCCAAGTACTAGGGATTTTGACTACTGTGACAACACTGTATTTTTCAAAGGTAATGAAATTCATTATATTTCATTCTTTCACTGTTTGTATGAATAGAGTGCTAAAATAAACTAGTAACGCTTTGATCCCTGTAACATTCCTCGTTGGTGTCTCCACCTCATCATGGTGAGGGAGTTTGAGTATGCCAAGGACCCTGAGAGCTATACCAGCAGTAGCATAGCTACTGGCAGGGCCTCCCTTGCTGGACAGGTCAAAGGGTAGGCATCAGACAAAGAGAGACACCAAAAACCAAAAACTGATGCCAGAAGCAGCGTCATCAGCAGCGACTTGAAGCACAGAGCAAATGAAGCTCAAGATGGTTCAAGTTCGTATAGCAACAGGCGTGACCAGAGTGGTTTGAACGGCTGTTGTACTGCGATGTGGAAAGCAAATGGAAAAACTACCACATTATCACTTTTCCTGGATAGTCTCTTTCCAAAAACAGAAATACCATGTATACGACCAGAAGACGAGGAAAAGATGTAAGAAGATGCTGGATGACCTTGGGGACAGAAGAGGATATTCTCATTTGAAATCGCATTAAGTGGAGGAACTGTTTTGGAAGAGACTGTGGACCTGTCGTATGACAGATTACTGATGAAAATGAAACATAGTAAAACACAGTGAAAGCTTATTTAAAATTTAAATACCCAGAATAAATATGAGGTTTCATCGGAAAGTTCCTGGCCTAGGTAAAAAAGAAATACTGGCTTAACTTACTCAATTCTGGCTGCCATCTCCTTCAAAATAGTCTCCTTGGGAATGTATACAGTGACCCCAACATTTTTTCCACACTTCAAAATCACCGTTGCTGTTGAGTACCACTTGTGATTCCCTTTGGATATTGGACACTGTTTCAAAACGTCGTCCTTTCAGTTTCATTTTCAATTTGAGAAACAAAGCGAAATCACGGGGGGCTAAGTCAGGCGAGTAAGGAGGATGCGGAACGATGACCACGTTGTTAGTCACAAACTCCATAGTGTTCATGGACATGTGGGTGGGTGTGTCGTTGTGATGATGGTGTCAGTTGTGGTTACACCAAAGTTCTCGTACTTTTAGCCATACATTTTCTCTCAAGCATCTCAAAATGTCACAGTAAAAGTCTGAGTTGACTGTAATGCTAGGAGGAACAAATTCACAGTGAACAATCCTGTTCACATAAAAAAAAAATGAGCATGCTCTTTGTTGAACTGGCCTGATGCACCTTTCTCGCTCTTGGTGATTGTGGGCTCTTGTTGCTTTGTTTCTGGATCACAACTGTAAATCCAACTTTTGTCTCCCGTTATAATCCTATGGGTAAGAGCTGGGTCCTCGTTAGCCTTCTCTCGTAGCTCAAGGCACATGTTTACGTGCCACTGTTTTTGGTCATTTGTCAAGAGTCAAGGAACAAACTTCGTGGTAATGTGGCGCAAGTTCAGATTTTATGTTAAGATCTCCTGGCAAACTTCATAATTGATCCAGATTGGTCTGTGAGCTCACAGATTGTTCGGCGACGGTCTTCATGGACAAGTTCTTGTCTTTTATCTGTCATTTTGGTGGTGCTTGGACACCCTGAAAATTTGTCATCTTCCACTGACACTCGACCAGCTTTGAAATATGAATGTCATTCAAAAACCATTGTTCAGCTTAAAAAATGTTCTCCAAAAGCCTCACGAAGCATTTCATGGGTTTCGGTAGCGGATTTACTGAGCTTCACGCAAAACTTGATGCAGATATGTTGCTCGATTTTGGCATCCATTGCAGACAAAATGAAACATGAAGTTGAAAAAGCATTTGTGTAAAAACAATGCATGTCACAGCGCAGTTTCATGTGGCAAACTGATGCAATGGGTTTGCAGAAGTGTGACCTTAGCCTCTCCTCTCATCTTCTCTCACTGAGGCAATTGCAACAATAAGAGTCTGGGAACTTTCCGACAGCACCATACACTGTGTGTAAATTGGCTGGGCAGAGTTAAGCTGCCTATTATGAAAACAGTCATCGTACTGAGATATGGTTTGGATTAGGCAAAAATGGAAATTCTGGACTCAGTTTGCAGAGAAAAACAGCTGTGATCCAGAAAACTGACAAACTGAGTTAAGAAAATGTGGTGGGACATTCAGAAAGACGTGGGTTCATAAAAATAGAATCCACTCTCACACGTGCCTTCATGGCGTAGTGCTAAATTAGTTAGGCAAAGGGATAACTTTGCCTTTATCTTCCACTTTCACATGAACATATAGCATAAAAATCCAAATAAACACCTTAGAGATAATTTACATGAGATTGCCAAAGCAAATTTAAAATATATTGACTGAATCAGTATTTCTAATCTAAGCAGTCAGAAAAGCAAATTAATTCAGTGAGAGAGTGTTCTCTAAGATCTAAATCTTACTCTTCAAGCCACTGTTGCTGATGACCAATAATTGACCCTGGACGACACATTCGGATCCATGCGATAGTCTCATGTGCTGAGAAATGATAATGTTTCATGATATAGCATCCAATGAGAGAGCCTGTTCTGCCTAGGCCAGCTGGAAAAAATAAATTGTTTCACATTACATGAATGTTCCTTGACAAAATTTGGACCAACACATATTTTTCGTGGAAACTGTGGTTAGGGGTGAATGCAGTGTGCCACCATGATATGGATATCTGTGTCTATGGACCCCAACACATAATTCCTTAATGAATATTGAGACAAAAATTCACTTCAGTGAAATTCTTCCCATTCTGTCTGCCATTATGCACCATGATCACACCTTTTCTTGCAAAAATTATGCATTGGTCAAAACTGAATCAATGGCAAAAAAGTATTTAATTCTGTTCCATAATTTCTTGTAAAAAAGCAGGGGTGCATAAATTGTGCCAGTAAATACAGTAACTCGGTACGGTGACAGCCAAGTACGTAACGATAAGAGTTAGATAAAGCATGAGATATAAGGCTGGTTCTGCAACTGAAAAGGTGGACATCACAAGTGCAATAGATGAGGCACCAACGTGGGAAGGCTGTAGGTATCGGTGGGATCACCTGTGCAACACTCATGTGTACAGTTTCTAAAAATTGCTGGAACTTCAAAATCAAACATTCAGAGGCCTCCATGGCTTGAGTCCGCAAGCAAACTATACTGACCGAGCGATCACCGCTTGTCAGTGAAGTTAATGCCAACTTTAGCAGATAGAAGGTGTTGCGTGGTCAGCGCAACAAATCCCCAAGGCCGTTAATTTCGGTTTTCTAGACTGGAGCCGCTATTTCCTTGAAACAGCTCCTCAATTATCCCCATGAGGCTGAGTGGATCCCATTCCAGACCCACTACTTCTCAGAAAATCTGGCAGTGCCGGGAATCGAACCTGCACCTCTGGATCTGTAGCCAGGAACTCTGACCACTAGACAACAGAGGTGGTCCAGAGGCCTTGGTATCGATCTAAAAATATAATAAATTTTATAAACGAAACTGTAGAATGAACTGACAAGGAAGTATAAATACAGTAAGGCATGGTCATGTTCACCAGGTGAAGGAAAATAGAGACATCCTTAAGATGAGTGAGAAATGTTGGCAGGTGGAAATATCACAGGTAACTTGAGAAGCTGATATGGATACAGCCATGGAATTCAGAGGATCATACAAGGGTGAAATGGGAAAGAGAAAGTATAAAACAGAAAGAAATTGTAGCTGTAAAGAAACTGATAATATTGTCACGTGTTGGGTGTATAACGCAACAAATAACTACACGCCGTTCTGGATCTAGTGAATTTATTGCACATTCGCTCTTACATTTACACAATTACTGCCATTGGCAGTATCACAAATACTTCTCCTGTAGTCATTTCCATTCACTCGATACAACTCATTAACAACGGACTTCAACTCACTCCAGGGAATGCTAGACTGCAAATGACTGGTGACTCTGGTAAATCTCCTCGTTATGTAGGTTCCACACTGACAACACAGAAAACAGTTACGTGATAGCTACCAATGTTGCGTAACGTTGTGTTTACAGGTGTTGCTGGGGAACGCTGCCGAGAGCTGTTTATTGTTGTGTAGTAACCGCAGTGTCCCCTGTTATGTCACTGTGGGAAGTGCTGTTATGTCACCATGGGGGAGGGGGACGAAGTGTTGACTGGCCTGATACCATAGCAGTGGCAGTGGCTTTGATGATGTTATGTCACTGTTGGAGGTAGGGGGGGGTGTTTACCGAGCATTGCACCAGCCATGTCACAATATTAAAATGATGAACTTCTTACTTCTAAGAAAATGCATACTAACAAACAGAGTTACCTTTGCAATGGACAGCAATGGCACCTGGGCTACTTTCTGCAATGGCAAGAAACTGTTTCATGATGGGGTCACTAGGAGTGCTACCATCGATAAAAAATAAATCTCGGTGATCGAAGCCAGCCTCTGTAAACCTATTTGCATCATATATCTTCTTATTAAGTCGAATTACAGTTGTAACATAATTCCTCCTGAAGTAGGCAAAGTATGACTCAGGTGCATGAAGGGGGTAACCTGAAAGCAACACATTCAACAACAGTATGTCAGAAGATTAAGTATAAGGTTGTAATGGAAAAGTGTAACAAAAAACAAAACTCCGTGGCCTGTGGTCCACAAGCAAACTATACCGACCGAGTGACTGCTGTTTGTTGGTGAAGTTAGTGCCAACTTTTACGGACAGAGGGTGTCATCTGGTCAGCACAACGAATCCCCATGTCCGTTAATTTCGGTTTTCTAGACCGGAGCTGCCATTTCCTTGAAATAGCTCCTCGCCCCATAAGTCTGAATTTGGTGCAAAAGTTACATGGTAATGGTCCTGATCATTGAGTGGATTTCTGTGAATGTTTCTGAGTAAGGAAAATCTCATACTATGGGTGATATTCAGTGGCAAGAAAATTCTTCATCTGACCGGTCACATGAAAAGACAACTTTGGATATTGGTCAGATGATAACCCATGGAAGACATATACCACCCACATGCAAAATGATCCATGTGTGATGGCACGGGCTGGTATATAAGTGGCCAGCCAGATCCACAGACCTCACACCCCTCGATTTTTTCTTTGGGGGCACCTGAAATGCACTGTTTATGTCAACAGACTGAGAAAAACTGATGAAATGAAGCATAAGATAAGATCAAAGTTTAGCAATATCAATATCACAATGTTGCCAAGAGTCCAACTCTCTTACCAGCATCAGTTTTGGGAGGGCATACAAGCTGGAGAACATCAGTAAATCAAAAATGCATATCACATAAAATATATGATGCAGGACTTTTAACCATCCTATATATTAGACTTCAATATGAAAGAAAAAAAAACAACTCCGTGGTTTTAGTCCGCAAGTGAACTATGCCGACTGAGCGACAGCCGCTTGTTGGCGAAGTTAGTGCCAACTTTAGTGGATAGATGGTGGCGCAGGGTCAGTGCAACGAATCACCACGGCTGTTAATCTCGGCTTTCTAGACTGGAAATAGACTTAAATATCTAAGTATTAATTGTATCATGGAATTTCAATATGTTTACAATATCACATATCTAAAATATACAAGTTCTGTTATCTACTCCCATGACAGACTCAAGGTTGAATGAATACTTGGTGACGATGCAGTTCCAGGTCACATATTATTTTATTCTCTATAGGAACTGTCATGTAGAAAATTATATGCAAACATTTGTGAATCTTAAGTTTTCGAATATCATCTTAATAACCACAGTCATATCTGCAGCAGGACAATTCATACCCATTCACCATACCTGTGCTATAACAAAGTCCAAAACATTTTTTTTGAATATCACTCCATGCAGTAAATTTTGAAAATTTCAGTTATCCTGCTCTGTGGGTAAGGAACTCTCATCTGAATCCAAAATTCCATTGCATATTCTGATACGTAAAAGGTCAAGCACCATAACATATACATACCATTTTCAATTTTGCTCTTTGCGTGAGGACCACAGAAAGCAAGGAATTTTCGTGGCACAATCCAGTTCAAGTCACCATTCTCCACTCTCTGAAGCAAAGAAAATAAAGCCATTTCAGATCAAATAAATGAATTAGTGTCATCTTCTCAGATTAAAACAAAGTAATATATGGATGAAGGAAGGCACATTCATTAACCGTTCACTTAAATGGCAAGTCGTAAGGTAAGAAACACTTCAACAATAAAACATGTTATCAGCATTTGAAGATATAACTGGCATACCTGCACAACCTGCATAAATGTGCAAGTTCAAAAAGTATCACAAATATTTATGTCTGTGTCTGTATCTTGGAAACAACAGTGATAGTAAAGTAAGTTAAGTGATAAGCTACAGCTGGGAAGTGATTCCTGTTAAGTGTGTTATGCTTCTTCCTCTATAATCACATTAAGCAGAGTTCTGGGACACCCCCTGTAGGCTAAAGGGGGCTAAAGCACAAAGCTGACAACTGAATTCCATCTAGTACCAAGTTAAGATACTGAGCAGGTATTCTGCTATATGTCCTATACATGATCTTTGGAATGGTTAAGATATGAGGGAGGGAAAGCACTTTGAATGGTAGTAACTGTGTTCCAGTACAACATGCAAGCAAATTCATCCACTTTCATTTCAACATGGTATGAAGGTAATGCCAAAAGATAAACTTGATTGATGTATCACATTTGTATGCTTCATAATTAAAGAACAAGAACAATAGACAACAACAATAACATTAAAAAAAATCCTTACTCATACAACACAGAGTGGTACAACGACATATGCATATTGTAACAATATTAAAATGTAATAAATAAAAATAAATATGAATATATTTATATTAGTTATAAAATC